AGGCGCTCATCACCACATCGAGCGACAAGGGAAGAGGGAAGATCCTCAAGAGACTGGAGGTACGAGCACCTGGGGCTTTGTGAGGATGTTTCACTTTAGACGTCAGCTCTTCCTGTACGCACTTTTAAAATACTACAACGGACATCAACTGGATGTCAGTTTAGTTGAAGCTGCTTTATGTTTCATGAATTTAGCACGTAGAAAAACAATGTTATCAGTGAATACAAAGCTCCTTCACCGACTGTACCATATTCCAATTTTGATTCATACTATTCATCCAGTTGTCTGTTTGTACTGCAGGCAATCAGCTCTTTTAGCCTGTAACTGAATTCAATCTCTTACTAACAGCTGCACAAGTTGCCACTGAACAGGAGTCCTCTTAAAACAGCCAATGCGTTTGTAGGAGGGACAGAATAAGAGTGTTTTTCAGCACTGTGTGTGTGTGTGTGTGTGTGTGTGTGTGTGTGTGTGTGTGTGTGTGTGTGTGTGTGACAATGAGGAGGAGCAGGAGGGGCGGAGCAAGAGGAGAGTACACATTTATTAACTGATCATGGATCGAGACAATGAAAAAAATACATACATGAAAAACTAAATTTCTCAACAAACTTACTTGGTAAAGTGTCAATTAACCGGGGTGTGCAGCATGTGTGTGTGGAGGAAGCCGTCATGTTCATTACCTCAGTAATATTCATTGTATTGCAGACACAACGGACTGACCTCAGCAGCCTCAAAGGACCTTAGAAAGATAATAGGGCCCTATCTGACCCGGGGAGCCCAAGTTTGAATAGGCCTGTGCTATGGTGATGGGTGTGCTTGGTGTATCTGGTTACAGGTTTATACGTTTTAAATCTAACATTAATGAATCCGATTCACATTTTAAGAGGTTACTTCTCCCAATAAGAAGATACAGTACAGGACGTGAATGTTTATTTGTCAGCTTCCTTATCTAACATGGATATTATAGTTCATTCAGTTAAAACTGTTTCACATCCCGCATCATTTTTCACAAAATAAACAAATAAAGATAATCCTCAAAGGTTGGTCACCGTGTTAGGAAAAACTACAAAGACCAGCTGTGTCAGTGAATATCTCTTGTTATTTCTCCGTGCCGGCATCGGGCGTGTCCAAGGGCCAGATGTTTACGGGTCGTCTGTCTGTCTTTCCCACTTATGTGAACACAGTATCTCAGGAAGACCTGGAGGGACTTGTCTTCGTGTTTGGCACAAATGTCCGCTTGGACTTGAGCATGAACTAATTCGAATTAGTTTTTTAAAGGTCAAAAAAACATTTGAAGGGCTGGAACTCAAGAACTCGTGAGCTGAAATATGACACGATTTCACAGAAAAGGATAATAGGATTAAAAATGATGAAGTGAAGTGAAAGTCAATTCACTGTGAAATCATTTAGTGCTATGAAAATACGTTCCTCCTGGCCGTTGTTCCAGTCCCTGTCTTGTGAGTGAAATAGCTCAGGAAGGCCCAGGGGGGATGTTTTAAAAGTTTGGCACAGATGTCGCCTCGGACCAGAGGGGGAACCGATTTTGATTTTGATGGTCAAAGGTCAAGGTCACTGTGACCTTGCATCCTGCCCTTTCTCATGAACTTCTCTTTAAATCTCAGGAATGCTTGGAGAAAATGTTATTTACATTGGTTTATTTTTTTAATCGGAATGATACATACCAATACTCTACATCTTGCGTAACTCTTCATCTGCTGCGGTTTTCTTATTCTGCAAAAAAAAAAAATCTTTAAAGTCTTTAAAGATACAATATGTAGAGTCTGTTGCCGGGGGGTTCCCAATAAATACTACAATAACAGAAGAAGATGTCGAGGCTAAAAATGGACACGCTAATATGGGACTAAATGGGGCATCGTTGCAGCCAACCTCAAGTGGACGTTTAAGGGAACTGCAGTTTATTTGCACTCCTGCAATTGCAGCGGTGGCTTTGGGTGCGACCTCTCAGATTTAATGTAGAACTTCCAATGCTGCTTTTTGTGTTTGTTGTGAGGCTGCTGTTGTTCTTCAGTAGCTGTTTACTGTTAGTCAATCACTTTGCCCAGCCACAGTTTCTTTACTGTTCTGCAGCAAACATCGATTGATCTAAACCTGACTTGTTGCTGGAGGCATACGGGCTCAAGGCAGTGATTCTAGTTTTTAAATGTTTGTGTGTGTGGACTGTGGTTAGTGGGAACAAATCAGATGGTGCTGCCACATACAGGCTGGGGAAGATGGAATGTATTAACAGAAAAAAACAGCAATTAGTTGGCTTTGGTCCTTAAATGGATTTGTTGGGGTGGAAAGAAACTGCAATTTGGGTGTAGTGTAGCTCAGTTGGTAGAGCAGGCACTCCAGCAGCAGAGGCTACAGGCCGTGGTGCAATGCTTGCTGGTTTTACCTGATCAACAACACTTTGGCACATGTCATCCCCCTCTCTCTTTCCCATCTCTCCTTAGTGATTCTATCTAATAAAGGCAAAAAAAAAATGTAAAGATGACTACAAGCATGACCTACAAGTTGTAGTTGCTGTCGCTTCAGTTTGAGGGATCACATTTCACAGTGAAGTCTGCAGTCAGGACACAGACTGCAGCTCTGCTTCAAACGCTGCTGCTGGAACTCTTCTTAATACGTTTCCAGTGTCTCTCTCTCTGTAGACAAAAGCGTCTCGAGGAGATGATGAAATAAAATGTCTGATTATATTAGAGAGCTGAAGGCACACGTGAACTTCTGTCTTTGCGATCAAAGAGAAGGAAACGGTCCAGAATCGCAGTGACGTATAAAAGAACACAGAAGAATGGAACTTTTCTCAACGGGATGTTTTGTGCATCTCTCCGCCTTCCTCGTCTTTCATTTCCAAATTATTCTTATTTTTAGCAGCTTTGAACAAACTTCCAGGGTGATTTAAAAAACAAAACAAAAAAAAACAATGCTGCAAAAAGAACAAAGTGAATATCCCCATGATTTATTTAAAAAAGCAGCTGAAGACCCCACTGTGTTTAGACTCTCCTTGGTGTAACGCTAACTCAAAAGTGCTTAATAATAAACACTGGTGACATAATGGGGCGGCAGTAGCTCACTCTGTAGGGACTATGGTTGGGGTACGGAGGGTCCCCACTCTGACTTCTCTCCACTGATACATGTCCTCCGGTCATGTTTGTGTATGTGTGTGATTTGGGCCTTTGTGTGTGAAAAGCATGTCTCTCAATAACAGTGTAAATCAGAATTTCCCTCATAAAGTATGTAATATAAACTAAAAATAAATAATGAAAACTCTGACATAAATCACAACAGTTGGAATTAGATGTACAAGAGCAAGTATATCATTTATGAAGAGAAGTTCTCAAGTATACTTAAATGACCTAAATATTGTTTTTTTTATGTGGTGTCTCAAGTTTTAAGATGTCAAAACTCTCTCTTTCAAGAACATCAGTATCATGTCACTGTGATGCTTCTCCGTTACCATGTCCTCGTTAGGTAGGGTTGTTAAAACACAGCACAAAAGTGACCCTCTCCTTCCTCCCTCCCAATGATGAGTCACAACCAAATACATTTGCTGTCCACAATAATTCATTCATTACTAAACATAAAACTGTCAAACTTCAGTGAGAGCACAGGCCAAAATACTGAACAAAATCATCTTGATCAAAAACTGGAGAAAATTATTATTCAAAAGAAAAGGTTACTCTCCACTCTAAACTAACCAGGTCTGCACAAAACAAAATGTCAATATATCAAAAAAAAAAAAAAAACCCACACAATTTCTCAGTCTCGCTAAACATCTTTCTGGAGGTGAGAAAGAGGGTTCTGCAGCGCCCTCAACTTTCCTCCAATAAAGTGCAGGTTATGCAGCACCAGCTTCCCTCCAATCAGCAGCCTGCATGCACCGTTAGCCTTTCCCCCAATCAAGGGAGGGTACCTGCAATCGAAGCACAAAGACAGACAGGAAGCCACACCAACAAGAAAATCACTTACTGATCACTGATCTTTATAATCACCTACTGGTTTATTGATTACTAAAACTTTCTTTCCACGGATCACCACCCTTTCCTCAGGGTCAGTACGTTCAGATGGCGTGCTCCAGGTTGGGCAGTCGGGTGCTGGAGGCCATATGGAACGGTGCCTCGGTCAGTCACAGGCACAACATCGCACAGGAACTAGGTAATACGCCACCCAACTTTCCAAATACCCTGACTGTAAGGGATGGCTGCTCGTGCTTCAACCTTTTCCTCTCCTCCCTCAAACTGTTCCTTTCTAGTGTCGAGTGAAAGCCAGCTGAGGTCAGACCAGTTCGCCCGGCATGTGTGGGCCAAATTTGCCCTCTCCCACTTCATCCACAGGAGAGCTCACTGGCAGGAAATCCAGACCGGCGAGTCCAAGAAGAGGAAGCTGTTCAGTGAAATTCTTGAATAAAAAAAAAAACATGTTTTTGTAATTTACTGTTTTTATAATTTGGTTTCAAAATATAAGAAGAAAATGTTCCATTATTAATTCCTTCATTATGTGCTAATTTTCACTCCTCAAAAAGACCCCTGCAAATAGAGTATCCACACTTTTACACTCTGATGTTTGGACCAACATCACCACTAGATGGTGCTGTTGGAACGTTTATTCACTGATATTTGTTCACTCAGTGGTGCAGGGGATCAAATCAGTTGGGAAACAGAAGCTCATAAATCTCACATTTTCACGTAAGGAAAACTGAAAAACAAACTGAATGCCAAAAAGTGACTCCGTCTTATTTCTTTCAAGTTTGTCACTCATCTAAAAGTGTTTCTTCATAGTGTTTCTTCATAGTGTTTCTTCAGGCTTAAAATTCTGTTGAAGAATAAATGTATGCACATTTATACCTGAAATGTGTAAAGTGGTTGAATTACAATCAGACATAGCAATTTATTTGTTTTCCTGAATGTCATACATTCATTTCACAAACACCAGCAATTGAGCGTCGGCATTGAGTTCCTTCTGTTGCAGGCTTGTTGGGGAAACATCAGCTTAGTCACAGAGGAGAACATTGATTACATATTGATTAGATGGAAGGAAGCCTCTTCTCTTGATAGATGCATCTCAGTCGCAAAGAGGAATGAGCCACGGGATGCCACGCTGCAGAACAGCATGTGTTCTCATTGAGGGAGAGACAGTAAAGGCACTCTGTCAGAGAGCATCTATAGACTGTTAGACACACAAACAACATCACGTTTTCCATACTGGACATAGTGTGATTACAGACTCACTAAAGATGAAGAAGATCATCTTCATAGCGAACAAACATGGCTCTGATTCTTAAAGTGACTTTTTGGCAGAAGTTTGAAACGATGTCACAGCTAAATAATATATAATCTACACTATTCAACTAATGGAAATATTTAGGCTTTGATTGTGTGGATTTCTCTTTATATGTATTTTCCTCTTCCACATGTTAGTCTAAAAAACACAATGGACCGAAGTCAGCGTATAAAAATCCTTGAAGGAAGTCACATTTTGTATTTGCATATGCACAAAAACACAATATGCCTGAAAATTCAGGAGATGTTTGAGTTGAATTTCAACCTGACATTACCTGGACTTTTTCCTGCCAACCACCCACATGCTATATTTCCACCTGAAGTCAAGTTGAGACATTGTATTAACACAGCAGGTAATATTCATAAAAAATCTGAGTGGGAGCAGGTGTTGATTATAAGAGCTTTCACACTTACAGAAAAACTGGAGGAGCTGCATGTGTAACGCAAACAGCCGTATTTTCACTCAGATTTTCACCTGGAGTTTCTCCGGGACCCCCCCCCTTTTTTCCTCAGCAAGTCCGAGTGGGCTAATGTGAGAACACAGCAGGATATTATCCGGAGAAATCACTTCGAGGGAGTTGTAACGGGGAGTGACATTTATATACTGTGACTGCTGCACGGTGCATAGACTGTATGTCGAAGTCCGCTACGGTCTCCGTGCATGTAACTAAACGGCTGAATTGTGTTTTCTGTCTCTATGTTGTTCTACGCTCTTTTGTTGAACTACAAGTAGCATTGATATAAAGGCAAATATTCTCATTGTAGCGTTTTGTCTGCCACTTACACATTGTTTTTTTTACGTCACGTCTTACCTTAATACTCTTTGTTTGCTTGCCGGTATGTCCTTTTCCGTGGGTTTCTTGCAACCCATTTACACTTAGCATTGTTAGAAAGGCAATAAACAAGTTAAGGGTCAGACTCTGTCGCTTTGTCAGCCATCTTGTATTTCAACAGCATCCTATCTACATTAAACCTTACCTCCTGAGACCCCTCCCTTCAACTTAAAGCTAAGGGACAAGTATGAATAAGCTACTAAAAAAGATTCCAGGTGCAGGCTGTCTTGACAATTCTTAGACATTTTCAGGAGTGCATGTGTAAAAAAAAAAAAAAAAAAAAAAATGGCTAAAGTAAAATAAGTTTTTTGATGCAGGTTTTCCATTGCACTGGGTTACATCATAGAAGTGTTCCTATCTGCAGAGTGATACGTCTGCTCACAACGAAGGCTAGACAGACTCTGGAGACCACATGTATCATTGAAGAATACTTAAAGGATTAGTTTACTTAAATCAGGGAGAAGAATCCTGCCTTTCCACGGTAGTAAAGTACTTTGAAGTGTCTTTAAACACCAAAAACTTTTAAGCTCCATGGAATTAGGACTGATAATAGTAAGTAAATATTAAACTTAACATCAAAGTTGTTTCTTGAGTCAAACCGACAGCAGAAAGACAATAGACCAGGATGTTCAGTTACACTTTGTAATAAGGGGTAACTTTTCATTATGATTCAATGCATGATTCTTGTTATCTGCTCACTATGACTTTGATTAATGAATGATTCAGGAATCCTCAATCATTGGGCGAAGAATCATTATGTCCTACATGCATTTTTATGCCATCAAATTACTAACATTGTTACATAGAAGGAAAAAGTTTTATCTCATCTTTGAGTCTGTTCCTAAAACCTGGTGATGTTGGCATGTTCCTGACTCTGCATTTACCTCGGTTTGTGTTTGGTTTTTGTGAGCTGTCAACTGCTCACTGTTTTTTAATTTGATGGCATATAAATGAATGTACAAAGTAACTGTGAATCAAATACAATAATTAAAACTCCATTAAGCTTAAACTGTTCACAGTAACTCATAGCTCATTTGTTAAGGGTGAGCTTTAGTTAAAACACATTAGGTCATCACGAGTGAAGAGTTACTGAGTAATGGGACTCGCACTCTTGTTGTGAAGTGTAACCAGATATTTAATAGTTATGAATCAGTGTGACTTTAACATTGAAACGATGTATTCACACTCATTGAGATAAAAAAGAAAATTCAATTAAGAAAACAGTTCTGCTATGAATGCTTTAGTTCCGCCTTTAGCAGTAGATTTTGATGGCAGCCTCACATCGACCATATAGCAGCACAACCCCATGATGTATAAATCACATTAAACTTCTCCAGTGTTTACACGGTGAGGCAGGGGGCTTCAGACCAAGCGGCAACCTCCGGTGTTGAAAAATGAAGTGTGAAACCTGCAGTTCCTCGAGTGTCCACGTGAGGCTGACACGAACAGACCCGGAAGTTACATACACACCACATTCAGAAATGCTTGTTTGTACAGCCTGGTACAAAAAAATGATATTGGTCTGATTAGTTACTGTCCTTAAGGGTATACACTGTACAAAGGTTGCATTTTTTTTAACTCATCGGTTT